GAAAGATGATTTAGACTACATCAAGGGCGCTATTTTGGGAGAGTAGGGAGAGCAGCAAGAGTACGGGGCAAGTGCTTGCATTCTGTGCATGCCTCTCACACCTGGCTGGTGAACGGAGCTCACCAGCCAGGTGTGAGAGGCACGCACAGAATGCAAGCACTTTCCCCTGACTCCTTTAGCATTCAGAGAATAGGATGAAAAGCAAGCTGCACCCTGGAGTGCACTGCTGCTGCCCCCACTACCTCCTGAAATGGCACCTTTGGACTAAATTCATGTTTTTCTTCTGTCAGAAATTTCTTAATTTATGTTGCTAGGCTAAGGCAGTGATTTTTCAGCTTTTTTTCATTTGCAGACTCCTAAAAAATTTCAAATGGAGATATGGACCCCTTTGGAAACCTTTGTGGCATATAGGTTGAAAGCTAATGTTCTATGGTAACCTTTTATGGATCCCTTAGACAATCTGCGGAGCCCCAGGTATCTATGGACCCCCCCCCCAGCTGAAAACTGCTGGACTAAGTATATGCTAATGAGCAATTAATTGCATGCCTAGTTGCTGTTAAATAGTGGATATAAATGTATTGAAAACATTTGGTTATCGGCATCTGACAATAGCCATTTTTGTACTTGGCGTCACTTGCTGTGTAATCTGTTGATAATGGGTATTGAAAAGTTGCTCGTTTTATAGTGTCCCACTTTCACTTTCTAAAAACGAAATATTTTTTGTGAAAGATGACAGACAGTCACAGAATTTAGAAATGGACTGGATTATTATCCAGTCTTCAGGGCAGTGCAAAAATATTCTACTATGTAGTACGCAGCTCTCTGAAGTTCAAGCTACAGAATGGCTACGTCTACACTGGCCCCTTTTCCGGAAGGGGCATGTAAATTTCACTAGTCGTCGTAAAGAGCCTCCGGAAAAGGGCGCTTTTTCCGGAGGATCGGGGCCAGTCTAGACGCTCTTTTCCGGCTTTTTTAAAAGCCGGAAAAAAGCGGCGGACATTTTTATTTAAATGCCGCGGGGGATATTTAAATCCCCCGCGGATTTCCCTACGACGACTAGTGAAATTTACATGCCCCTTCCGGAAAAGGGGCCAGTGTAGACGTAGCCAATAAGTATGGTATAAACAGTGACAGTGCAAGTTCACCTGTATGTCCCCTCTTTGTTCTGGGAGGGGGGTTTAGTTCAAATGCTAGGCTCATTTAGTTCTTGGCCAATCTCAGGCTACCAACTAGCATCAAGTGGATTGAAATAGTCAACTAACTTCCTTTAGGCCACAAAACAGTTGTTAGATGCCAGTGACTAAATCATTACCACCTTTGCCCTCCTAGAGGAAGACTACCTTTTTTGCTTTGCCAGTGCTGTACATTAAACTGCCTCCACTCTGGCCTCTGCTTCAGCTCCCTTTTGTCTTTCATGCGCTATCCCAAAACTTTAGTTTTACTTATCAGTGTTCTGTGTAGCTGCTTATGCCACAGAACTCCCTCCTCATGTTCAGGACCAATGTTTTATATTCCAGGGATTTATAATTCACCCACTAGTACTTTCCTCTTCTCTTATGCAGCAGTATTTGCTTTTGCTATTAAATGCAGAAAGTGTCAGCTGTGCTTGAGGTAAATCACTAAGTTAATAACCATGACAATACGCCTAAATAAACAGTCATCCCTTAACGTAAAGGCTGCTCTCATTCTTAAACTTCATTTATTTGTTTTCTTTCTCCTCCTCCCAGTGTTATTTGCTAGGTGGAGTATGAACAAGGGAGATCCTGGGGCATAATTCTCTATAAGGATCTCTAACAGGAAGAAAAGTACTTTATTGGTTTATGACTGCAAACGCTCATCAGTTTATGCCTTAAGCCATTTTGCGGTTAGGTGACTGAAAATTTAAGTTCGCAATATCAATTATAAAGTAACACCCATGGGTGTATGCCTGAGCCAAGGGAAGAGAAAGGCAGGGATCTTTAAGTCTAGATGCAAATTTAGTAGAAATTGCTGCTGCTGCTGCAAGACAGGCATTAAAAAGTTAGTATACAAGGATGGGGGGTGGGGGGAAATGGGAAGTGTGACAGGACAGTATTTATTTATTTGATATTTATACAGCAATGGCACCCAGAAACCCATCAGGAGCAGGGCACGTGTTTGGTACTGTATAAATGCAGACCATCACAGTTTGCAAAAGAAGAGGAGTGATACATGAAAGGGGTCAGGGGAGGGATACAAATGAAGTGTGTGCAGGTTACATACACACATGAAGGATTTTAAAAAAAATTAAAGTATTTAATGCTCTTAATCTAACAAACATTAATGAACTAATTTCTAATAAGCCTCAGGGCACGTGTTTGGTACTGTATAAATGCAGACCATCACAGTTTGCAAAAGAAGAGGAGTGATACATGAAAGGGGTCAGGGGAGGGATACAAATGAAGTGTGTGCAGGTTACATACACACATGAAGGATTTTAAAAAAAATTAAAGTATTTAATGCTCTTAATCTAACAAACATTAATGAACTAATTTCTAATAAGCCTCATGGCAGAAGGTGGGGTGTGTAGGAGGGACAGGAGTGCCAGACTGTGTGAGAAGCTGACCAGTGGCCAGGGTTAAGTAGGAGTAGTACTTGGGGGGGGGGAGAAAATAATTCTGAGCTAAAAGGTTACAAATGGAAAGTGGCTGGGGTTAAGTAGGAATAGTGCTTTTGGGGAGCATTCTGTGCCAAAAGACTAAAAATGCTGTGCATACTGTTTTAAAATTCTGCATATTTTGTCAAAATGTCAATTTTAATTATTTTGGTAACTTATTTCAAAATATCCTATAACAAAGTAGACAACAAAAAACATTCAGGAAATGTTTTTGATAAATAGATTCTTTCCTAGGCATACTAATACAGAACTTCATTTAGATTGCAATACAGAGACTTGGGGGAGTCAGAATTAATGGAGAAGCCCACAGAGAGGAAAGTAATTGCTGGGAGTGAAACTGGAGGGGGGTGAGAAATATGGAACAATTGTTTGTTTGTTTTTGTGGGGGGAGGGGTTGTTAGGGACTTAAGGAGCCTCCCCCTTGCAGACTCTGCTCAGCCTCTAGCCTCTCTTTCAGTCAAGGACATTTGCCCAGTCCCTGTCTCTTCCTGCATCCCCCTCCCAGCATCCTTATGTATCCCTTCACTCATTCCCATTCAGTCTCTGGCTCATTGTTGTTCCCCCATTAGCACCTATGCCCCTGCTCCAGTGTGCCCCCCATAGCCCTTCTGAGCTCTAGTCTACATGACTCCCTCAGCAGCCCCATATGTGCCACTCTGTCCCATACCATTCCCCCTCACTTGGCCCTCCAAGGCAGGTTGCTGTAAGAAAATCAGCTTCTGCTCTCCTTTCTGTGCCTGAACACCTGGTCTTCTGGCACCACAGCTGCCCCTGGTGGGTGAAATGTGTAACTGTGACACTTCTCCAGCAAAATGGTATTCTGAAGAGAAAAAAAAAATCTGGGAGGGTGGAGTATGAATTCTCCAGGAAGTAGAACACGCACAGTGACAAGGGACTTTGTAGGTAAAGTCAAATAGTGTGAACTGTTTGGCACAAAGCTGGCTAGAAATGGAATCCCTGCTCTTCAGGACATTTTGGCATTTCAAAACTTGTCATTCCATAGTCAAATGAAGAGTCTAGGTTTCCCACAACAGAACGTTGAAACAGTGTTGCAATGATTTCCCATTAAACATTATTAAAGCAATACATTTCCACAAAACAAGCTAGTTTAGCTCAGTCAGCATTTTTCCACTAAAAAACTGTTTTATCAAAGCCTTTTTTACTAGTTTTAGGTTGTATGCTGGTGGACCAACTTCATTGACCTAGGAACGATCAATGACATACACTAGTCTGTTTTAAGCTCTTGTCTCTGCAGAAAACATAAGTAAAGAAAAAGGAGCTCTCTACTCAGCATGGGCCACAGTTCACAAGGGCTTTCCTTTCATCTTTTTGGGTCCCTGCTCTGACTGCAAGAGCCTGCCTGATCCCTGTAGTATTCACTATCCAGGACATTTGCCAGAAAGTCTCTTAACTACATTCCAGTTTCTACTACAAAACCTTCTTTATCATTCTCCAGCTCTGCTAGCCCTTTGCTGGCCTTTTTACGGGCAAAGTGCTCGTCTGTCACTTGACCTCTGGCCCCACAGCCTCAGCTGCGTTGTCACAGGTGAGGGTGGCCTGTCTCCTCTTAACTTAAAGAGATCAGTCACCCTGTGAAATGTAATTTCACATCATTTGAATGTTTAAAATCTTACGAGTGAATCTGTGGCTTAGGGTTCTACAATGTGCTGAGCACCCTGGTGGCCTTCACTTTAAGCATGTGAGTACTAATCCCCGTAGGGCCTGTGTCCTGACAGCTTAGAACCAAGGACAACCCATGGAAGCAAAGGAGTGGGACCTACATTAACAGTTCCAATAGTGTTGTGACAACAAGGTGAGAGATTGCAAGTGTCTCATTGAAGCGCAGAAAAAAAAAATCTTGCCTGTTGTGGCTTTTGTGGAGGCTGCTGCAGTGGAAGGCTCAGAGCTGCCAGGTCTCTGGAAGGCCTCCTGCCTGCTCCGCAGCAGCTGTGCGTAGCCTCCCCCCCCCGCCCTGTGTTTTCATTTCTGCTTCTGAGGCGCGGGCGGAGCTTTCCCCAGGCTGTATTCTTGTCGCTATTTCATTGGCTACAGCAACTGTCAGTCCCAAGCCTGGCTGGCGCAGCTGGGATTGGTAGGGGCCGAAGGCTCTGCTGGTTCTATTGGCCGCAGGAAAGCAAATCGATAGACCGTGGCGGGGGTTGGAGGGTGAAAGAGGAGGGGCCTCCCCATTGGGCGAAGCAGGCCAGCTTGCCCGCCCACATTCCACAGCTGGCGAGGTGTGGGAAATAGTGCAGGCTCTTCTAGTCGGGTTCCTTAATTCTGATTGGGCAGAGGCTTTGAAACCAGCCAGCTTCCCTTCAGTGATTGGCAGTTTTCATGGACGGGGGAGCCAGCGTCTGCCAGGGGTGGGGAGGGAAGGCTGCGGTGGAGTCAGTGTGAGTCTGGAGCAGCAGCTGTGGGGAGGGTGTCCAGCTGATAGAGGAAACTATTAAACCCAAACACACATTCTAATGCAACTCAGCTGTGTACAAGCAGTACGGGTGTTGCAGCCCTGAGCACCGGAGAGAGGAGACAAGGGCTTGCTTCTGGAAATCTGTCTTAAGTTAAATCATATACTTAGCGCTTTTGAGGGAGCGCTTTGGTCCTATGGACTAAGGTTGCGCTGTGTGAGCAGAGTGCCCATAAGTGAAGTGTGCCCAAATACACATACCCTATCTCCCTTGGCTTTATTGTGGTTCTAACTGATCATGGAGGTGTTGGAAAATGGGGAGCAGAACCTGTTGCACTGGGATCGAAAGCTGAGTGAGCTGTCAGAACTGGTGGACTCCGATTCCCTGCTAAACAACACGGTGAGGAACAGCAGCGCTGGGCTGAATGTCTGTCTTCTGTAGGGACACTAATGCGTTTGTTTCGTCAAAAAGGAGGGTGTGAAGTATTTCTAATGTGGGGGAAAGCCCCTTGCTTTGGGGGTGGAGAAGTAGAAGCTGGGCTAGCACACATCTGGCTGGAAAAGTGAGGAGAGTCTGTTGTTAGGAGTTCTTGTGAATACTGTACTCGGAGTAGGAGGTGTTCAGAAATTTTCCTTGTGAAATTATGAATGCGTGAAAAGTATGAGTAATACCATTTTCCTTCCTTGTCAGACTAGCTTTTCTTTGTCATTCCAGCTGTGTGGCTGAAGAAACCCAGGGTAGAGCTGGGCCCCATTTGGCTAAGCATTTGGGGAACCCCTAAAAATGCTTTGCAATTAATGACAAGAAGTTTTGGGGGGGGGGGAGTGTGAAGTCTGTAGTTTTAAGCAGGGCGACAACTAAAGAAATAGATGCAACTAGGACATTGCTGTGTGAGCAGACAGAGAGAACCCTTACAGTGCATTAAGGTGCTGGTGGATCCTACAGCATTTTAAAATATGACTTCAATTTCTTATTTCACTTAAACTGCAGAGGCTGACATGGGTGTGTAACTTTGTGGTGTGGACCCCCTTCCCTTAAAGAGGTTTGTGAGGGTTAATTTTAAAGCATCACTAAGAAAATAACAGACTTCAGTACTTTACCATGCTAGGAATAGAGATGTAGCCCTGTTAGTCTGATCTTGCTGAAACAAAAGAGAGGACTATGCAGCACTTTAAAGACTAACAAGATGCTGTATTAGGTGATGAGCTTTTGTGGGCCAGATCCCCCACGAAAGCTCATCACCTAATAAACCATCTTATCAGTGTTTAAAGTGCTGCATAGTCCTCTCTTTTTTGTTTTAGCATGATAGGTTTAGTCTTTGATTGAATGAAATTCAAGACTGAAATCCTGAGGAACTGGTTCCTCCATTTCTTCAGCCCACCACCATCATTAGAGATTATGCTTGAAAGGGAATTGGAGCTCTACCCCCTGAAAGATTTTTTGTGGTGAATTGCGAGTGCTGGGAGAGAAAGAAACCTTTGTCCTCATCTGAAAAATTCACTGTTAATAGTTATTAAAGTCACAGCTGCAGCCAGATGTCTGATTATTTACTTTGCTTTAGTCTGCAAAAAGCTTCTCCTCTCTCCCCCCCCCCCCCCAAAAAAGGCCAAAAGTGGGTTTTTCTAGGGCATCATGGGAAAGGGTGGGGAGGAAGAAGTTCCTTCAGGCAAACAGTGCAGAATTACTAAGATTCTTCCACAACTAGGTCACAGAGAAAAGTAGTTTCTACTGGAGATCTGACTTTTTTTTAATAGTGGCTGACAAACTTTTGGGGGTCCAGGCTTTGACTAAATTCTACAAAATATTTTAAGAAAATAGGATTGTATGTTTAGTGTACTCAAGTTTCTGTTATAGTCCATATTATATAACTTGTTGCTTCAAAGCTAAGAATTTGGAATTCATCAGCTGTTTAGCTGGCTTTTAGTTTGAGAATGCAAAGTTATACCTTTGTTGGTCCTAGGATATTTACTAGATGTGGTGGGTAAAGTCTTATTGGACTGATTTAAAAAAAAAATCATTTGGACACAGGTTAAGGAGGCAGGTAGATAAGCTCATAGCTTCTGGCTACAGAAACCCTCATAAACAGGCGTCTAGCCCTGGCATGTGAAATGCTTTACAGGGACTTTCCTATGTCAAGGCTAAGCAATTCCTCTGGTAAATTCTTCCTTGTAGACTGTCTGTCTTGGGTGGTTGGGAGGGGGAATGTATTAATTGGCATGTTAGAACTATAAATATCTTGTTTTGGATTTTAATACACTAAACTACCTGTGTAATTACGTAGACTAAAACAGTGGTAGTACGAATGTGCTAGTTAACCCACCTTTTTTCCTAGTGTAGACATGGCGTTTGGTTAGCTTAAAATTCCAGTTTCTTTGCTTTTGGTAGCAGCTGTTGGTGAAGCTGTGGGCATGACCTATACTGTATTGTATCATCTCTGGGCTGGAATACTGAGCCCCACTCTTCATCATTACCTACCATAGAGTATGTCTACATTGCAACACTATTTCAGAATAACTAGTGCTATTCCAAAATAACTTAGTTTGCATCTACCCAGCAGGCAGTTATTCCGAAATAGTGTCAAAATACTGTCAAGCTGGAGGACTTCTTACTCTGACTCCTGTAACCCTCACTGTGCAAGGAATAAGAGAAGTCAGAAGAAGAGTGCTTTATTTCGAAATAGGTGCTGTGCAGACGCTCCCTATTTCAAAATAAGATATGTAATTGACGTAGCTCAATTTGCGTAGCTTATTTCGAGTTAAGCCCTGCAGTGTAGACACACCCTTAATGGCTCTGTTACGGCAACTTTCTTTTTGACCCGGGTTTCCTTTCCCTTTGGAGCCCATCAGTGCAGCTTAACATGCGGAAGGGGCTGCTGTTTGTGTCACAAGGATCTCTTGTCTTCCTGCTCTCCAACCCTGGTCACTCAGTAACAGCAGAATGTTTTATCATTTCCATCAGTCCTGGCAATGAGAGAGGAGGATAATTAACTGATCTCTTTTCTCTTCCATGGAAATGCGGAGGCCTATCATTTGGTTTACCATATCAATAATCTTTTTAAGATTGGAAGTTACTGTTGCAGTACAAATGCTATTTTATGCCTTTTAAAACAAAAATGCAAAATCCTTAGGAGAATGGTAAAGGGCCAACAAAAATCTGAAACTTATTATATTTGCCAACTTCTCTCTCTTTACCACCTATCTTAAAAGAAATAAAAAGCAAAACAAGGGAAATAAAATTTCAGCCTCAACTAACCAGTTTTAATCTCCAACAGTTACTTGTCTTTAATATAAGAGGTTTTTGGGGCATGTGCTGACCTTAAGTCTCTGTTTTCAGGTGAAAATGAGTAATGTTTTCTTCCGTGTGTGGGCAGAAAAGGTGCATTCAAGAACAATGTATCTGCACAGCACACAGTAATAAAAACTGACACTGTTATAGTGATGTCAGTGTGTAGACGACTACACGATTAACCGATAAGCTTGGCCGTATCGGTTAATCCTGTCAAATACACACACTCCCTCCCCCTCCTCCCTCTGTATCAGAGGCAGCAAGGTGGGCCAGCTCCCTATGAGCACCAGATCCTCCGCTTCCCCCCTTCAGTGCTGCTGCGTCTGCTGGAGATGTGAAGGTTGAGGGGGGCAAGTGGAAGCTGATATGTGCAGGGAGCTGGCTTTTAAGCCAGCTTTCTGCACGTGCTGGCTCCATGGACCCACTTGCTCTTCCCTCACCCCTTTGCTGCCTCCTACAGAGAGGTAGCAGCTCAGGGAGGGGCAGGGGGAAGCTGCTGTGAAGCAGCCTCTGTCCACGGTGGGTTTTAAACCGGCCCCCCTCACACGACAGAGAAGGCAGCCATGGAGCAGCCTCTGTCTGCAGGGATCTTGGAAACCCTTCCTCCCGTGTATAGGGACTATTGCCACCCAGTGTTGCTGTCTCTGTATCAGAGGCAGCAACACGGGGCAGCAGGTGGGAGCCGGTCTGCACGGAGAGCTGGCTTTTAAACTGGCTCCCCTTGTGCATCAGCTCCTGCCTGCCACCCCATGCTGCTGCCCTGATAGAGAGTTTAGGGCTCTCCCATGAGTGGGGCTGGGAGTGCAATGGCTGCTGTCCCACCTCTGGGGGGTTGTTAAATAGTCATGTAACTACTAAAATTTGATGTGGTTACATGACTGTTCAATTACATGCTCTCTAACATCCCTACTAGGTTAGTCTCTTCTCTGGAGAAGCCCAGGATTGTAACTCCAGGGACTGCTATAGGAGAGTGCTGACAGTAGGTTTGCCAACCTTCTAATTGCACAAAACTGAACACTGGGCTGAGACAGAAAGTTGACATGTGGGAGGGGGTATAGGTTCTTGGCTTAAGGTACAGGCTCCAGATGAGGCCAGAAATGAGAGGTTCAGGGTGGGGATGTGGGCACTGGTAGGGGGATTGGCCTCTGGGTAGGGCTGGAAATGAGAGGTTTCAGTTGCAGGAGGGAGCCTCGGGCTGGGCCAGGTGGTTGGGGTATGAGTTCCTGGTGATGCTTATTGTAGCTCCCAGGAAATGGCTACTAGGACTCTATGGCCTCTACTTAGCGCATGGGCAGCCCTGGAAGCTCTATGCAAGCCTGCAAGCACCATCCACCATAGCTCCCATTGGTTGCAGTTCCTGGCCAATAGGATCTGTGAAGCTGGCACTGATGGCCACTTCAGGGAGCAACAAACAGTCATGGCAGGTAAGGAGCCTACCTTAGTCCTGGGTCCCTGCTGTGCACAAACTGGACTTCTAATGGCCCAGTCAGCAGTGCCGACCAGAGCTGCCAGGATTCTTTTTTGACCAGGTTTTCTGATCAAAAACTGGGTGCCTAGCAACCCTAAGTTGAGTTATGCTGGCAGAGCTGTATGAGAAACCTTACTCTGCATTTACCTGCACTAGGACTACATAGATTGACCCAGGCTTATTAGGGATGTTAACTGATAAGCATGAGGCTTACTGGTATACTTATCAGCTAACAGCCCTTGCTAGTTAACTCTGGTGGTGGTCAGACACGCAGAGTTGGTGATTTGGGTGGCAGGACCCCACCCCTGGCACAACCCCAAGGCTGGACAGTGGGACTTAAGTTAAAACAGTTAAGCACTATTGTTTTATTGATTAGGCATATCTGTGCCTCACTTTTATGAGTACTAAATATACCCCAGGCAGGTAAAGGGAATAAAAGGTTTCCATCTGTGAACTGTGACATACCCTAGCACAACTTGTGATGTCATAATTCTGCATGAAAGCAAAGATCTTGTATTGGTCTATGTGCAGAAACATGAATAGTCATGTAAGGCCTACGTGCTGGGTTGGCTGGCCTACGGGTCCTGAGAAGCATTCCCGTTGCAAGTTCTGACACTTAATGCAACTAGAAGGTAGGCTGTCTGTT